GAAAGCGAACCTGGGGCTACCGTGTTCCCCCGAACATAACGCACCTTAAAATGAATGTATACAAGCTATATTTCCGGCCAGATACAGGCAAAATAAGGGCGCGTTGTGTTCGGGGGAAGACGGTAGGCCCTATTACTTGTAGCCAAGAGGGTTGGACTTAAAAAAAGGCTGAATCTGGACGTGTTCGGGGCGAGTGCAGAAAATCGCGACTGGACTGCTTTTCTGCATTTACGCAGAAACATGGCCAGATTCAGGAGCTGAATCCAATCCTCTTTGTTAGTGGGACCTCGGCCCTGCGCTGCCAGGCAGACAAAGAAACAGGTGGGCGGGCACAGGCGGGGAACTGCGGGGGGAGGTGGGCAGGCAAAGGCGGGGAATCATGGAACGAGGTGGGCGGGCAAAGGCGGGGAACTGCGGGGGAAGGTGGGCGGGCAAAGGCGGGGAATCATGGAACGAGGTGGGCGGGCAAAGGCGGGAAGTCGGGGAAAGAGGTGGGCGGGCAAAACTGGAAAATGGGAACCGTATGAGGAAGGCGGTGAGCCCCTGCGCAAGGATGACTGAACGTGAACGGGGGCAAGGTCCCACTTGCACGGACTACGAGATTCTGGCCGTTGATCTTTGCTATCTACTGTCAATATTGCCTACTTTGTGTAAGTGAGTGGGACCTAGCCCCGGGGAGTCCCTCCCTGACCTAGCGGGCTACCGGTAGGTGCCGACGCGGTCGTCAAGGTTGCGTAGAGGCTGGACCGGCTGTGGTAGAGGTCGGACTGGCTTCAGAACGGTAGCCTCGATAGCCTCGACAGAGCGGCAGATGGCGGGCTACCGATACTCTTTAAGCTTGGACAAGCGGGTAGAGAGCGGGCAATGGACACAGGAACCAGACAAAAGAATCGGCAGGAACCAGAACGAGGCCCTAAGCTTGGACAAGCGGGTAGAGGGCGGGCAATGGACACAGGAACCAGGCAAAAGAATCGGCAGGAACCAGACAATGTGACCATCTACGTGGAAGAACCTGGCCATGAATGTAGTGCGATGCGTTTGGAGTGAAGTACAAGTGCGCGAGGATGCCGTTTGGAAGTATATGCGCACACTGGAAGCTTCCTGCGTGTACCGAATCCGCGTTATGTGCAGATTCTGTCGAAATGTCCCGTCCCGGGGCTATGTCCCACTTACACGAATTAAGCGATATTGACCGTAGATAGCAAAGATCAACGGCCGAGATCTCCTAATTTGCGCAAGTGGGACCTTGCCCCGGCCCTGGCAATTCGGAAGTATGGGCCTCGCCGCACCACTCTCGAAATGTGCAAAACGAGAGTGAATCTTCCGGTAGAATATGGAAAGATACACGGCCAATATTTTGTCGTTTGTGCATGTCGAGAGTAGTGCAGCGACGCCCTATGTTATTCTGTTTAGGGCATCGCCACACCACGCACGCAATGTGAAAGAGTCAAAAATGTGGCGGGTGCATCTGGCCATGTTCTAGCGGTAAGTTCATTCTCATTTTGCGCATTTCGACAGTGGTGTGGCGATGTCATTAATCTGACTGCATCTGTCTGGGTTCGAACTTGGGTCTGTATTTCAACAGTCCATGGGTTTACCAACTGCGCTAGGCCCATTCGTATGTCCTTCCTCTTTTGTCTTTGGTTTCGCGCGCTTTGTGACCTTTTCCGGTTTTCGGTCGACCAGCAAGTTGTCCTTTGTCGTGGCGTAGTCCTTGACCCTATGGTTGACCTTAGGGTTTCGTGTTTTTTTTTTTTTTTTTTTTTGGTTTCGTTTCTCTGCCGTTCACAATTGGTCTTCTTTCTTTCTATATTCTTCTCTCAACTTCTGTGAAGGGGAGATTTCATGCTGCCCCTTGCCCCTAATGTTTAGGGTATAGGGTTGGGCCGCCAGTGGGGGTCTGGCTAACACAAAGACCGAGACCTGCCAGTAGCTGCGCCTCCCTTTCTCATTGTCCCCCACCCCTCATCGAGTAGCAGCAGTAGCTCTGGCCAACACTCTCCCCCACACAATTGGTCTTCTTTTTGGACTGTTTCTAGTCGGAAAAGGGCCGGGTGCGCTCGGAATCGGCCGTAGGGAAACATACACATTCGGAATCGGCCGTGTGCATGATAATAAAATAAATAGGGGCAAAAAGTATGGTACATAAAATGCGAAAGAAGGATGACAATAACTGGATGTACAAACGAAAGAAAGAACTCCAGGGGCCACTCCCACTACAGTCTTCCCCCGAATACAACGTTCGGTCACTATAGCTGAATTTGGGGTATCTTTCAGACTAAATACAGCTATAATGACCGTACGTTGTATTCGGGGAAAGAAGGTGCCGGGAGCAGCGTTGAGCTACCTCAAGCCCTGAATCTGGACGTTTTTGTGGAGACGTGCAGTTCAGGAAACTCCACCATTTCTGCACGTGTCCGCAAAAGCGTCCAGATCCAGGCGTTGAGGTACCTCAACGTTGCTACCGTAGTGGGACTTGGCCCCCCGTGCAGGTTTGTACACAGCTCGTTGGCGGGATTCGTTTTCTCTCGAAACGCTCCGTGGTACGGGGCTACCGGTAGGTCCCACTTACACGAATTATGCGATATTGACCGTAGATAGCAATCATCAACGGCCAGAATCTGTTAATCCGTGGGCAAGTGGGATCTTGCCCACGCTTCGTACGAAGCTCGGCGCACGCGCAGACCTCTGCGGCACTGTCTTCTCTTCCCCCTCTGGTCCCCGTTCCCCGCGGCCCCCAACCTTCCTGCTTTCAGCCCCCTCGTAAGGCCTCCCGCTTCTTTGTGCTAAACCCCGTCGACAAGCCGCGGCATTGCCTTCGACGAGGCTACGGGGCTGCTGGGCCCCGCTGCGCCTCCGCTGCCCCTCCGCTGCCCGTACGTGAGGTTGCCAGCTTGCGGAGCCCGTGTAGCGGTCCGTCGTTGATAGCCTCCTTCTCCTCCTCTGCGCAGTCTTCCGCGGCTATCCGCTACCGTACTATAGACTGATGTAGGACTATACTGGAACTGGAAGTATCTGATCTGACCGCAATTCACCCCAAGACTTACCTTGGTAGGTAGGTAGCCCGAAACGTCCTGCTGTAGTGTTGAGTCGTCCTTCCACTTCCAATCCCGCCCCCCCCCTCCCCCCTCCCCCCTCGTTTCTTTTCCTTTTGTAAATGGTACTTCAGCGGACCCAGTGTCCAATTTGCTCTGTCGGACAGAGTCCCACCCCCATAGCCATGGAGTAAAACATCTTCCACCTAACTACTAATCTGGCCACTGACTACGGTAGGCTGTCTGTCTCATCTGAGGCCTCTGGCTCTGGCCTCTGCGGCGACAAGAGAGGTTTGCGCACGCAGCGCATCGACGTCTGTCTGTCTGTAAGGTACTCTGCGCCTATCTGCCACTCTTCCATTCTCGGTGATCCTCTCGCTGCATCTTCATACCTTCCATCATTCTCCCGCCGTCTTATCGCCATGCTCCGCCGTGTCATGCCCTCATCAGCCGCGGCTGCCTACTACCTCTCTTTTCAATCTTCCCTTCTCCGCCTTGTGAACTCGCACCGTCATCTTACTCTCCTCGTCATACCCACGTGTTCTGCCCACGTGGCGTGCCGCTGACCACTGCTTCCTCCCTCTTTCGTACGTCTGACGTCTTTCACCGTGCTGCTCATACCGGCATCTCGCCCCTCGTCGTCAGATCGTGTACTGCCGCGTGCCATGCCATTGAACACTTCTTCCTTCCTCCCCTCGTCCGTCTCATGTGCTTTGCCTCGCTGCTCACACCCTTACCTTACTATTACGTCGTATCGCCATGCTCTGCCACGTGGCATGTCGTCGATGACAGCGCCCTCCCTCTGCGTCCCTCTTGCTTTTTCCGCCGTGCTGCTTTTCCTGCTGCTGCTCTGTTGTCCGGCATATCAGTCTCTCAACCTGTCCCTCTCGGCCATCTTGTCCCTGGATTCTGTTCCTTTCTCTCTTCCTTTTCTTCAAACCGGGGGAGGGGTGGAGAGAGAGAGAGAGAGAGAGAGAGAGAGAGAGAGAGTGGGTATGCGGAAGGCTAAACACCTTTTGTGTGTTTGAGTGGGGGACGGTAGGTGGAACGACGAAAGCGCTCGGCACAGACACACACACACACACACACACACAGAGAGAGAGAGAGAGAGAGAGAGAGAGAGAGAGAGAGAGCGGTATGGGAAGGATGAAGGTAGAAAGAAGGAGAAGATGTCAGCATATGCGAGTGGGAGGAAAAGGAACATGGGGAGGAGAAGAAGGTAGAGAGGAATTGGATTTCGAAGAAGAGATGGAGGCAAAATAAGCTAGAAAGAAGGAGATGCGAGACTTGAGAAGCGATGGAAAGGAATTTAGTAGAAGAAGCTAGGAGGGAGGAGGAAGAAAAGGAATCTGGTAGTAGTAGGAACAAGGTGAGAATAATGAGGAGAAAGAGAAAGAAGCCGGGAAGAAGAAGAAAATAAAGGTAGCAATGGGAGGAGAAAGAGGAAGAAAAAGAAGTGGCAGATTTTGGGTAAGCGGGAGAGAGCAGGGGGAGGAGGAGAAAGAAGAAAAAAAAACAGCAATAGGAGGAAGAAGACGGGGAGAAGGAAATTTAAGTTAGGAGGAAGAAAACGAAGCTAAGAAGCAGCAGCAGGAGCAGAGTCACAAGAAGCAGAAGCGGAGGCAGAAGCTGATGCAGAAGCAGAAGCAGAAGAAGAAGAAGAAGAAGAAGCTAGAGTGGCAGGAGCGTTTCAGGCCTCTTGGTGAACGGGTTGTGCAAAACATCGTCTGCATGAATTTAGTTTGTTTTCCTTTTTCTCTTCCCCCGCCCCCTGGCCCCCCCCTCTCCCAATAACGCACCCTTTTGGCACGCGTACGCACAAGCCCACCCACCCACCCACACACACACACAGACACACACACACACACACACACAGACACACACACACACACACACACAGATGGTATTGTGTGGCTTCTTTGCCCAAATGATCTTTTTTCTGACGTTTTATGTTCTGTAATGCAGGTTTCTGAAGTAGTGATGCTGCCCAGGGAGTTGTGACAGCAGACGTGGGATCGATGCCTCTTGTTCTCAACATGACTGGATACGGTTGTGATTGTTGGGCCCTCTACATGGAGGCAGACGAGAGCAGTGTACTTGGACTCCGAGCTGTGATGTCTGTAGGGATCACAAGTGGAGAAGTGAAGGAAAGGAAATGGGTCGCATATCCTAGCATTAATTTTCGGCGATGATTAAGGCGATGGTCTGTGACAAGGACCGTTTTGCTCAATGGGGGTCTCACATCGGTAAGGATGCAGGGAAGATGGCGGCCATATTGGAACTCCCGATGCCATCATTAAAGCTGGTTAGTGATGGTGGACACCTGATTGCGGGTCTGATGAAGGAGACGACCGAAAGCTTTGCTGTTGAAGTAGGGAGAGTGAATACTATGGATTCTTTCTTTCGTGTGCAAGAAGGAAGAAGTGGAGGTGGGGATGATGGAGAGAAGAAGGGGGACAGCAAAGCCCTCGTTTCGAATGATACCCATCTAAAAGTTGTCATGGGGGGTGGCGAAGGATTCGCGCATGGAGGGGAGGAGAAGGAGGGGCAGCAGCATACCCTCCCATCCCCTTCCCCTGGGGATGGCCACGGGACATCATCCGCGTTGCTGAAGGGTGAAGCATTCGTGAATGGAGGGGAGAAGGGGAGTCATAACCTCCCGTCGTTGCCTGCGGATGTCCATCCAGTCCACGGGACATCTGTGTTGGTGAAGGGTGAGGCGGACTGGCTTGCAGCGAAAGACGCAAAGCAAACCGAGACCGACGATGGAAAGGCGGTGGTGCACTCGCCGGCTGTGGAAGAAGATGTGATGATGACAATAGGCAAACTGACATTGCGAGATGGTGGTGATGATGGGGCTCCAGTGGAGATAGCGAAGCTGCCAGAACTGAGGGAGGTAGGGTTGGGTGAAAATCCTTGTCAAAATCCGATGGCTAGCAACATGCAGACCGTGGAAGAGGGGGAGGGAGGAAGCGAAACTGCCACTGCGAGAACTGAGGGAGGTGGAGGAGGAGATCGAGAAGAAGATCCCACAAGTAGGGTAATCGCAGACGAAGCATGCTGTGGGGAGGTGGCAGAAGGCAAATTTTGCTCTGCGGAAGCGACAAAGTCAGCATTGGATGCCGAGATGGCTGATGTCCGTGAATCCTTTCACGGTGCAGGAATCAAGGGATCAGATGAGTATGACGGGACTGTTGACTCGGCGATGATTCCTACCAAGCCATCTTCTGAGGCCTTGGAGTTTTCTCAATCGCCGCCGTCTGCTCTTCCATCATCCAGCGATTGCCAGCAGGACTCCGACTCTTCGGCGCCTACGCCTACCAGTGCCAACCTCGCTGTTCCTTTGGGAGGTCATGCTGACTCTCTGGGCAATCAGGGAACAGCGGAGGAGGAGGTACGAAGGTCGATCCCGGGTGGAAGTTGCCTGGGAGGTCATGCCGACTCTCTGGGCAATCAGGGAACAGCGGAGGAGGAGGTACCAAATTCGATCCTGGGTGGAAGTTGCCTGGGCGCGGAAGCAGACAAAGATATTGGACCACGGCCATCGCCGACTTGTCAGGGGTCCGATGAGCAACTGGAAGAGGCAAACGTTTGCCGCGATCCGCCTCCAACGCCTCCTCTAGTTCAACGACAAAGTAGCACCCCTGTCACGCCCCCCCCCCTTTTGTTGACTATTCCACACCCTTCAATTTCTGGGGGTCGTGGCGGCATACCCATCCCCAAACCAAGTGAAGGAACAACCCCTCCGCCGCTGAGCATCAAGGATGGCCAGGAATGGAAGGATCTGAGACTGTCGGCAAGAAGGGAGAGGGAGGTGACAACTCCATGGGAGGATCGACTTGCCTCCCCTCGATGCAGAACCCCTAGGCCTCAGAGTGGCAGTGTCGTCCGCTCTGGGAGCATAGGAACACCAAGGCGCGGCACGTCGTTCTCAGAGACTTGCGATCTGTTGGCGTTGGCGGCGGCGCGCTGTGGAGAATGCAAATCTTCACAGGAGGAGAAGATTGTCTGCAAGCACCCGCTTCCAAAGGAGGTATTTGCCGACGGTCACACTTCTCTCCTCGCTGATGTCTGTTGTTGTTGTTGTGCTTCTGAATCTCTTCGCAAGAACCCACTGTTTTGCAGCACCAGCGAGTGAATATACCCTATTTGTGTTCTCTGTTTGCAGCGTCCGGTGCGATTTCCCTGTTTGTTGTTGTTATTTCAAGATTGTTTTTTTTTTCTTTTCTTTTCTTATCTGCTTGACGATATATATAACCGTCATCCACGTGGCCGGCCTTGTACGTAAGAGGTGATGAACAGGCGGAGCTTTCCTTTTTTTTTTTTTTTTTTTTTTTTCGGCTTTGCGCTTCGATACACTGTGTGACGATATATATATATCAACCTACATCCACGTGGGCGGCCTTGTACGCAAGAGGTTCTGAACAGGGGGAGTTGTAAGGAAGAAGATTAAAAATGAATGAAGAAGATTAAAAATGAATTAAGTTTTTCTTGTTTCTGTTTTTCGCTTTGGCGCTCTGATATCATGTGACAATATATACGGTTTACAATATATATTCCTCCTCCTTTTCTTTACCTCTTTGCCTTTTGGCTGCGTGCAAGTGGGTCCTTGTTACTCACGGGGATGGGGGAAGCCAGCGCTCAACCTGTCATCCACGTGGCTGGCCTTGTACGTAAGAGGTGATGAACAGGTGGGGCTTTCTTTCCTTCTTTTCCTTTTCTTGTTTTGTCTTTTTCCGCCTTTGCGCTCCGATTTATAGTGTGACAATATATCCTCTTTTCTTTGCCTCTTTGCCTTTTGGCTGTGTGCAAGTGGGTCGATATGACACACGGGGGTGGGGGCAGCCGCCGCTCAACCTACATCCACGTGGGCGGGCTTGTACGCAAGAGGTTCTGAACAGGGGGAGTTCTAAGGAAGAAGAATAAAAATGAATTAAGTTTTTCTTGTTTCTGTTTTTCGCTTGGGCGCTCTGATATCATGTGACGATATATATATGAATTGATATTTTTTTTTTTGTTTCCTTTGTTTGTTTTTTTCGCTTTTGCGCTCTGATATGTATGTGACGATATATATATGTACGGTTTACGGTTTACCTGGCAGCTCTGTTTGACTATGTATTCCACGACTTCACTAGCACCCTGCTACGGTTTTCTCCGGTCAGGTCGAGCGGCAGTGGTCGGGGCCGTCACTACGCGGCCATGATGTGCCTCTAGTGGCAGCGGCGTGTCTGGAGTGTATTTTTTGGCTGTGACAATGACCTTTCTTTGTTTCGTGGGTGTTTTGCTTGCTTGAGATGGGGTGTGAACGGACAGTCTGTAGAGTTCTCCATCTGGTGTGGGTGAGTAATAGTCTGCTTTGATTTTCGTCACAGGTACCTTGAGGGCAGTGGTTGGTGGTTCCCACCTCCTCAAGAGGGGCATCAGTTGCCGGGCAGTCGGTGATGCTTAACCACAGCTGGGGTTAAGGTGGATGATCACTTATAAAGTGTAATCAGTTAGGTAGGGGATTCTGCAGACTGTTGAGGGTTCAGCCTCCTGACGAGTAGGGAGGTGAAACTCCGACGACGAAACAGTTTTTTTGTCACAGCCCCCCTCGTTTGTTGTCCTCTTCTCCCTCCCTCTCTGCCTACGGTTTACCGGGCAGCTCTCCCTCTTCGTACGGTTTACCGGGCAGCTCTCCCTCTCTTCCTACGGTTTACCGGGCAGCTCTCCCTCTCTGCCTACGGTTTACCGGGCAGCTCTCCCTCTCTGCCTACGGTTTACCGGGCAGCTCTCCCTCTCTGCCTACGGTTTACCGGGCAGCTCTGGGAGCTGTGGGACAACGCCACCATGGTCCATGCCATGACTGATGATCTCACTGATTTCTTACAAAATGATGCTGTTTTCTTGCCACAACAAACCGCACGCAATCTCTTTTATGTTGAAGATCATTCCTCTTGCCCCTTGCTGCAGCAAGACCATGTACCAACACTCTGCGACCTTCTCCTTTGCACAGCCACAAACACTATTACACTCGGCTGTAGCGGCCATCGTCTCTGTCTTAATCACACTACAACGACATGATTTCTGCATCCATGTGTGCAGAGGACTGTCCCTCTGCTCCTGACTGCAGGCACCCTCCGCATCTGGTCACTGCATGTCCGTTTTGCGGCCATGGGAGCTGTACTGAATGCATGGTCTTTTGTTTGTGGTGACCGTTCTTCCTTTATTTTGGCCTGCTATCGACATGCCATTTGCCGGGGGTGTGTGGTGGGCATGCTCAATGCCAGCCGTCGTGGCAATTGTTGCACTGAGAATGCTCAGCTAGGTCTTCCATGTGTTCATCCACCTCAGCCTTACAATGTATGTCCTCTCTGTCATCAAAGATAGACTCGTTCTTGAGCCTTTTCTTATCCTCTTTTGCCTTCATCTTCACTCCACACTCCATACTTTCCCTTACTTTCCCTTCATCGTTCTTTGTTTGTCTGCTCTCCATCTCTCCTCCCCTGTGTTTATCCCCTCCCCCTTCACTCTGCCTCTTTCTCACAGCGTACAAGTGGGCTGTTATGGCACACGGGGATGGGGGCAGCTCGCCCTCAACTTCATCAACGTGGCGAGCCTTGTACGTGAGAGGCACGGTGAAAGGGGAGTAAAAAGAAGAA